TGCATGAGGCCCCACTTAAGCACTGACTTTTATACTTCACCTACCAAGTATCGACTGCTTTATATATACATGAGTGGGTACCCCCCAAAATCTGGGGCAAAGGTCCTCTGGGCAGAGCTTTCATAGTACTCACCCACAACCACCCGACTTGAGGATCAAGCAACTCCCTCTGAGTTAGTGTACCCTGTGGCATCGCTTGGGAAGGTCCTATTTGTCCACAGTGAATTTTTTCGTAAAAGCAGTTTCACGCGAATCTCATTTTTTGTGGCCAATTTGAGAGAACAGCGTTCGACTGTGAAATTGTTTCCCGCTCAGGGAAAATGCCGCAGAAACTGTTGTGATGTTGAACACAGCTTATAAGGACAGTGCTATGGGAAAAACTCAAATGTGTAAGTGTTTTTATTTCAAAAAAGGTGAAATGTGGATGACAAACCTCGTTCTGGATGTCCATTAACTTCCTGAATGGATGAAAATGTCGACTGGTGGTGCATTTGGAGTTCATTCCAACAAGTCAGACTGTCAATCAAGCTCTCTCTTTAGAGGTTCTGAAAAGATTGCCTAACAGCATGCCTCTTGCCCCACCTCACTCCGTGCAACTTCTTTTTGTTTCCGAGAATGAAGAGGGACATGAAAGGACAGCAATTTGACAACATAGAAGAGGTGAAGGAAAAAAACGAGGTACTGTCAGCCATCCAAACTGATGAGTTTGAAAAATGTTTCCAAGAATGGAATAGCAGATTTGACAAATGTATTAAGTGAATTGGAGAGTACTTTGAGGGTTGTTTCATTAAATAAATACATATATTTCAGGGAAATAATTTTTGTCTTTTGAGGGTACCACCTGGCATACACATGAGGGGGCTTCAATGAGTTTGCAGAATACTCACAGATTTAACAGAATCTATTTGTACCTGTGTGTTCACCTCTGGTGCAAACATATTCATGAATGTGGAAGAATATACAAGTGGCAAAGCTATGAAGACTTCTTAGAACCAAACCTTGAAGGAATGAGCCACAGGCATGGGGATGCAGGACCACAGTCTCAGGGGACACTAGGACAATTGGTGTAACACAGTCCACACAGACAATGTTCTATACCCTACTTTGGTGAGTAGTGGCTGGAACCACAAAAGTTCACGAGCAGTCATCTGTGGTGCCAACTATTGGCATCTCCCGACCTGGAGAGGTGTGCTGAAAATAAAAAGTGCCTGGAAACGATCAGTCTGATGCATACATGGGCCATGTGAACATCCCGCTCCATGACCCCGAGACCGTAAGAACTAGATCGTGCCCACTACCAGCTACTCTGACAGGGGCCACATTAGTTCCCTCCCCCGAAAGGAGTTGCTGAATGAGGTGCCACAAAACTCAAAATCCGAAGACCAGGCTCATTGCTTAGACTGGTGGGGACTATGGGCCCCAGGTAGAGCCATCTTAGAATAACCAACCATTTGAGATCAAACGGGCAGCATTTACCCAAGGGCCAAGTTCAGAAGGATTAGGAAATGAAGAGGAATGGAAGCAGGAAACACTGGGCGGAAGTGGGATTGGAGGTGGTACATATGGTGATGGACAAAAAAAAAAAAGTGTATGGATTGTTGAAGGTGAAACAGATGACCTGTTTTGAAAACCTTTACCAAAGAAAGTCACAATAAAAACACAGTGAGGAGATAAATGAGGTCATATTGTGGGGGGTGTAGTCAACATGAAACAAATGGTGTGGATCCCTGAACTGCTCTGTAAACCTTCACCCAATGCACAATGTTTTTGAAAGAAAGCTCACGGAAAAAGTTCATCCTCGTTTCCTCCTGTTTTCCATGAATATCTTGAAGCCCACGTGTGTGTGGCAGAATTTCTGCTCGTCGGAAAAAGTCCAAGGTGCAACCCCCTAAAATTTTGTGAAAAGTACAAATTACAAAACTTAGGTCAAGAATGAGGGACGTGTGCAGACATCTCTTTAAATGTGGCTTATAATGATTTTACCTTTATGGATTGTGTACGTGTGCTTACGTGTTTAGGGCAGAGCTGACCAAGTGGTGACGGTTATCTTTACTTTTGTATGGTTTGCACACTCTTAAGAGCAAATTTGGGGTCCCAGGTCCTCCTCCGTTCTCCCAACCTTCTATGAAATTGTACAAAAGGGTTCCATTCCTCTGCTGGACAAGGGAAGTGAAGGTGTTGGCTCCAACATGGCACTTTCCCTTTCCTGTTGATTTTCTTCCCTGGAAAGAAACCTACAATCCATCCCAGGTTTAGTGGGTTGGTGATTGACGACGAAACGTAAAGCGATGCAGAGGCAACTCTGGTTGGTAGTACACTCTGAAAAATGTTTGGATTTCTACTAGTGAAAGCAAGTTAAGGCAATAGGAATTAACCACCCCACCCATGGCTGGGTTTTGAGAAGCCTGAAAGGGTCTGTTTCTGATGGAACTGCTTTGGGGGAGACGGACCAATGACGAGATGATCTACTGTGATGAATAGGAGCCGGGGGCTGGGAGGGTGGTGGGTGGCAAAAGCTCTGAAAATACAAGCCCTTTTCATAGGGTCAGGGGTCACACATCACCATGCATGCACAATGGCTCTCCTCTGGGCTAGGAAAGAGGTCCTGGGCCAGGATCCCACTCATAGGTGCAGCGGCTGCAGATAAGAACCCTGGCTGTAAACTGATGTGGCGTGCACAGTAGTCAAAAAGAACTTCACTTCGGTTCTGGTCTCACGTGCCCCTTACAGGAGCCCTCACCCCGAGTGCTGACTTGAAGCTAGTAAATTTTATGTCCGTCATGGTCACTAAGCTTCCTAGCCCAGGCAACGGAACAGGAATAGGCAGCCGACTCAACCGGGGACCTCCTAAGACGTGAGGGTTATCCGCTTAGAATGCTTCTGGAAAAGATCTTCCTTGCTCTTAAACAAGAAGCAACACAATAATTGCTTTTTAAATCTCATTTGGTGACCTGAAAAGGCAATGCCAAATTTTTGGAAGATGGCAAAGCAGAAAATGGAAAGACGCTGGCTCTTAAATGTGAGCTTCTCCACGGACCACTCTGAAACCCCGTCCTGGGTCTGTGATAGACGACATCGACTTTCCTCGTTGCTGAAGCCAATTTTGCTTCCTGTCACTTGAAGTCAAAAGTCCCCAGAGTGACAACGCTTGTCACTCTCGCCCTGTGTATTCTTCATGTTTGGTCAAGCAGAGGGGCAGCATAGAAGAAGACCCCCGACAAGATTGATGGGCACGGTGGCTGAGGCCGCCGGCACAGGACGCGGCGGGCCGTCATTCTGTTGCACACACGGTGGAAACTCGGCCGAACAGACTCGATGGCACCTAACAGCAGCAGCAACCACATTCTTCTGAGGTCTGGGAGGTGCTGATGAGCCATGCTCTGTCATTTATCACCTGTTTTGGCCACATCCCGCCTCTCGACCCTATGTGCATAATCTGTGAACTGATGGGAATTCTATTTATAGCATAGAGTAGTTGTAAAAAACAAAATGGATAACATAAATAAAAGCATTTTTATACAATTAAAATTTCTTTATCCATTCGGTGCCTTTGAAAAGTGATTTTAGAATCCCCAAGTGCACTCTAATGCCCCAATTCTGACGCTCAGCATTTTCTGCAGTCTGACAACGGCCTTAATGAGCCGGTGGGCATCACGAGCCATTGGCACAGCACAGCTGTGCTGCACCGGACTCACAGTGGTTGCTTCGGCTCGGCAGAGAGGCTGGCACTGTCTTCATGGCACAGGATGTAGTGGGGCCCGACTACTTGGACCACTGGTATCTCCAGTTTACCTACTATTTTGAGGCATTTTCTATTTCCTGCTTGCAATTGGTTTTGGCCCAGAAGTGTAATTAAAATCATCTTCAGGGAAATGCATATAAGCTGTATATCCACCACGTATCTCACATTGTAATTTACTAACTTGTGCAGCCATCTCTCTACTGCACATCTGAACAGAGATTTTAAACACACTTGTTTAGTACATACGGTATCTTGATTAGACATCACGATTATTAATCTTGTTCTTGACATGATCTTCAAGTGTAAAAGCTGGATATATTTTTAACACAATCTAAAGAGTTTTTGATAAACACTTATCTCAAAACTTGAAAATAAACCAAGAAACCTCACCAACAACAATTTTGTAAACATAGCTTTTATTTTTGTCTTACCTTCAATGAAAAAGCCTTCGTGCCACCAAAACATGTAAATTCAATAACCAAACACAAACTCCAGTCTGACCATTCACTTCAAGACAATTGCGAAATAATTTATATTGCTTTTTGTAAAAAAAGAACTATGATCTATTTTCATTATTAATTTTAAAAGCAGCAATATTCCCTCACATTTTCCATAAAAATCTAAAATATATCTAATAGTCCCAAGTGTCTTGTATTTATAGTTGATCTAAGTGTTTGTTTCATAAAATTTTTCAGAAATAAGTGCACTTCTAAAGAGAAAGCGAAACAGAAATAAAGACCAGGGAAAATGATCGTGGTTGCAGCAAGACAGCCATTTGACTGTTCTGAATCCTAACAATTCAGAGAGACTCTGCTTCGTCGCTAGGGTCTCTGCTGGTCACCATCTCAGTTCATTTATCTGTGAAGTTGTTTCTTCGACCAGTAGAGACTGATGACTGATTGATTGTCTAAAGGTTTTCTACATTAATCTACCAAAATAAATGCACTTAAAAATACTTTTAAGTATACAGATTTGCACAGGGTATGCAGGTGTAATTTTTAAAATAGAAATACTATGCCATTATATAAACTAATGAAACACTATTAAGCCTTATCAAGTTTTTAATATTCCACATTGGTTATTTTCATTCAACTAACTAGCTTAAGTGAACTAGTTAGTTTCACTAGCTAACTCAGCCATATATCTCATTCAGAAGAGGCTGATCTATGTGATTCCTTTTTTTTTTCTTCAGGCAGCACTGTTTCAGTAAGTTTAAAGGAGATTTAAAACGCTAAGAAATGTAAAGAAAGGTAACATAACGCTTTAATACAAATATTTTTAATAAAAAAGTCAGTGTACATTAAACCAGGAAATCAATAAATCTGAGTTATACAAGCTTCCTATGTACTTAGAAAAACCAAAAACAGTTTATAATAAAACTCTTAATTCAAAATAGAGTCCAATTTAACGAAAATGTCATTTTACCCAATAGATTAGATAGGGCTGTGTTATTTAAATTAAATGGTTCACCTGAAATATGGGAAATGTATAATCAAGAAAATTCAATCTCAAGGGTACTTTGCAAATTATCTAGTTAGTTTGCATCATTAATCAAATTCTTAACTTCCAAAGGGCAGACACAGTCTTTAATTGCTTTTAGGTAGGCACTTAACAAATGTTTCTGAGGAGAGAACCCCAAAAGATTGTGAATCACCCTGTTAACTCCAGGGGAAAACGAGACTCTAAGCAAAGCCAACTTCCCAGAACGATTCTTCCACTGCCAGGATAGCCCACGTGTTCCCAAGTCCTTCCTGGTAACAGAAAGACGCTCAACTTCCATACAAATAAAAAGGGCGCTTAGGTAACCCAGCTCTTCTATCAGCTTGTCCTCACCCCTTACCGTGCACTATCACATTAACAACACTTGTCTTTTTTTAAAAAGGGGTGAGTACGGAGAAACTGGTAAAACCTGGCAGATGTTGTAGGTACTTTTTAAATTAAAGGCAGTGGTAACTAGAAAACTCAGAGTTAGTCTAATTGAAATTATCTAAGCATTTTAACAGCTCTCCCCTAAATACTCAGCCACGTGACCTAATGGAGAAATGTAGAGATGAAATATTTAGCAAACACATAAGTACTCAAAAACAAAAGGAAAAACCCAAACACCTAAGAAGATAAAGAAAAAGGAATGAGGGGAAAACCCTCAATGGCCTTATTGGAACTTCGTGGAGCTACCTAGCAGCAGCGTTTGGGAAAGCTTTTGTAGTTTTGCATAATGCTCCTGTACTATTCTTCCCAATGAAGAAGAACATTCCTATGAATCAATCATCGCTTCCTAGTCTGGTCATTTGCAATGGTTATAAATGCTATATTTAAAATGAATTGTCTCAATCAACAGTTAAGACAAATATTAGGCCATTCTTTGATAAAGTTATTAATTCAATTAGAAGTTTTGAAACCAAAACCTCCAGAGAATCATTTTAGAATTAAAGTGTTGACTTGGAAAAGATTATCCAGTTCTCAGGGATATATCCCAAAAATGTAATGCTGGCATTCTCTCCCCTACCCCTTTATCACAACCCCTCGGGACTGCATTTGCTTCCTTAAGTCCACCGACATAGACCACAGTGATGAAGCTAAGCATGAACAATATTGCCCTGGAGTAAGCGGACCTCGGTCAAAGATGCCACGGTGAACACAGCATTCCCCCAGGCAAGCAGAGGCCCACTCAGTGCGAACATCCACTCTGCTCAAGATCTTTGGTGCATCGGAGTGTAAGAAACAATGGCATAGTAAGACAAGGACGGTCAAAGGAGAGTTTTCATCCAAAGAAACAAAAGCCATGATATGTAACAACTTTCTAGAAAACCAAAGTAAATAGCTCTTTGTTCTTTACAAGTTCATTTCTGTGATCAGAAGTTTGACATATAAAAAAATAGTTTAATAAAAATACACTAATTCTACAAGCAGCCTTCATGGTCATTTCTTAAATCCAACTCACCAAAATCAAACTAAAATAACGTCATGTCCTCTTATTAAAGAAGAGATCCTCTTGTCACAAGAAAAGCAACTTTACATTTTAGAGAAAACAGTACATCTCCCTATGAGTATAGAGACTACGTATACAAAGGTCATCAGTGTTTCTGAATGCAAAGTAAATCTATTAGTGGGTTGGTTGAGTGAAGATGTTAAACTTCCTCTGCTTGTTAGAAACCTGCTGCTCCTTACTGTCGAGCGTGTGTAATAGCATGACCACATATTTTATGTTTTACATAACCAGTGTAATTTCCTTTTTTAAGATTTCTTAAAGCCATTACAGAAGTGGAATTCATATATGTTCTATAGAAGTCCAAATCAACAGGGCAATTCTTCTAACACCAACTATGGAAGGATGGCTTTTACTGATTATCGAGACCCATAAGGTTTGCAGTAGAACAGCAACACTGCAGCGGTACCTACAGGTGAGTCTATGGTGCTTTACATGATATGTGTTTCTCCTGAATTGATTAATAATGTTACAGTACAAAGCCACAGGACACACAGGCAGAATGGACCTTAATACGCATGTAGGCAGTGCAGTTACAAAGGGATGTGCGTTCCTTTTATTCCAGTACCTTCGTATAATAAAGTTAACAAAAATAATATTAAAAAAAAAAAAAAGCCAGCTGGCACTGCCAACCAATTCCTGTAGTAGTCTTAGAAATCCTAATCCTGTAGAATCTCCTCTTGTACTCGATAAGCACCACCGTCTTCGGGAATATTCAGTGTATTGTCATCTACGCCAAGCAAGCCTGGTGATGCAGCTACCTGAGTTCTCTTGGGTGTGGGCGAATGTGATCCTCATTCATAACTTCCCAGCTTTCATGTAGGTGGGGATAGAGCCACGCTGAGTCAACCCTTCAAACCTCTTATAGGTATAATTAAGAAAAACCCAGTCTTTGGATTTGTAGTCCGGTTCTGTGGTGTTTGGCACTTGAAAGACAGAAAAAAATCAACCAAGAGCAAGAGAATTCATTAGTGAAAACTGCACTACCTTCATGGCCTTTGACCAGCATTAGTCATGTTGCACACTGTCTTACCTGGTTGTAAAATATCTGATTCAGGAAAGTCATCAAAATTTGAAGTATCATCAATGCTCTTGATTTCTATGGGAATAGCTGCTGGCCTTTCCCTATGAAAGGAATTGAGCAGACATGGTAAACTTTGGTGCACTCTTAATTTTCACATAAATAATTCTGCTTGTAAATTCTGCAAGCTGTTCTATGGGTATTTTATTATTGAAAGTTAAGTAGATTTCAAAATTATTATGAGTATACATTTTTTGTTAAGGCATTTTCATGTAGTTAGAATTTTTATTTGTTTGTTTCATGATTTTCTCACAGTATTTTTAAATGGAAAATCAAGAGCTAAGGAAAGGAAACGGTAAAACAGGATATTCTGTCTTAAAAGATTTGATAATGATGGTTGTGTAGACTGCAACTTACCTCAGTGGTCCAGGAATTGAGGTCTTCTAATAGAGGTCCCATAAATCAAAAGTAATTTGGGGAGGAAGGGGTGCAAAGGGTGAAAGGATAAAATCTGAACAACAAAACTTCTTAGGTTTTTATTGCTTGTGGGCATAAGCTATCAGCTTATTTGTTCAAAAATATTTACTGGATTAATTGGTGCAGATTTTATGAAGTTATGTAATATCTTTCTAAAAATAAAGTTATTTTCCCTAAAAATAAGCTTACATTCATTTGGGGGAAAGAACCAGAGACCCTGAGCCCGGAGCGCTACCAGCCAATAACGGCCACGTCTTCAGCAAACCTGGTGATGGGCACTGCTAGTTTCCTATGCACATGATCGTGGTGTAAGCTTTGTTTCCTTGGAACCTTATATTGTGAAAAACCTGGTAATCTTACCTGTCTCCAAATAGACTTAAGTATGGCTTTAGGCAGGCAAGTTCCTATTCTGGGTCTCTATTTATATAATATCAAGAGATTAGATGCATAGTCTTCAGGTATCCTTCCAACAACAAAGGGGGTGAGGGGGCCATGGTTTTATTTAATGAGCTGATGAACAGAGAGCAAAATCAGGTCATTTACTAGTTCTGGCACTTTAAGCAAACACCATCTCAATGCCATATTTTCCTCATCTGTAAAAGAGGAACAGGAACACAGTGAAGCTTGTGAGAGCTGGAACTCAACAGGACTGCCCTGTGTTTTCATAGCTCGAAAGTCTTCCAGCTTTGGCAGGGCGCAGTCTTACCACTATTCTATCACTTGTCTTCATGGAAAATATTTGCACTTTCCTTCTTTGATAGGTTTCCACCTTACACAGGCTCCAGCTTTCACAGGTTGTTGTTCTTTTTTTCATTATAGTACCCACTTAATCAGTTTATGGTGAGGATAAAATTTAAAATGCATAATAAGTGCTTACAACAGTGCCAGAAACCTAGTATATGCACAAAAATTATTAATGATTACTTTAATAGGTAGAGTGCCCGGCGCTTGGCAGGGCCCCCAGCAATGTGGTACTGAGGACACAGCGCGTGAATTGCCTTGGAGGATGAAAGGAGCTGGCTAGGCAGGGCAGGGAGGAAAAGGGCACTTCCATCAGAACAAGTGACAAATGGGTAGGAAAGGCCAGACAAGACAATACTTGTCCAATGACGCAAGAGCCACACCAAGCAATTAGAGATTTTTTAACTTTATTCTAATTGCAGACACAAGGAGAAGGAATATGGCACAATCAAACTTATGGTTGTCAACTGACTGCTGTGTGGAGAACAGGCCTGGGCTATTGCAGGTAGTTTGGCCATTCAATGAATCAAGGTCAATGCGCTCAAGTATCAGCAAGCAGATTTTTAAAAGTTACTTATATTACATAACTCCTCCACACCTGACTTTAAAGAAAGGGCTGTATTTATTATGAATGAATATGGGGAAAGTTGTATATGCTAAAGAGGAGGACAAGGAGGGATTAGAAAGTCTGGCTTTCAAACAAAGCTCTAGAATTCTATTCATCTTTAACTCCGCTGACGTAGTCCCTCACCTGTAAAGCAGTGATAGTAACAACGAGCTAACATTGCAGCTCACTTCTTTAATGGCTAAATGGTAAGAAGGAATCCCAAGGAGCTAGAATGGCTAAATGCTTGATTACTACCTGAAAGGCTGGCAGGTCAAGCCCAAGCAGAGGAAGAAAGCCTGGCAGTGTGCTTTAAGAAAGTCTGGAAAACGCCCAGAGTAAAATTCGATTCTGCACCCTTGGGGCCCTCGTGAGCTGGAAGTGCTTGACAGCCGCAGGTTTTGCTTTGTTTACGAGGTAATGAGGACACAGCAGGGTCTGTGGAGACTGACACCAGGATGCACACGGCAGTAGTTAGGCGCTGTCTGTCAATTTTCTACTCCTAGCAACTCCCTATGACAACAGAACTGACTCAGAGAGTTTTATAGGCTGTAATCTTTGTGGAAGCAGTTCACCAGGATTTTCTCCAGGGGAGCTGCTATGCGAGTTTAAACTGCCAGTCTTTCTATCTGCGGCCAAATACTGAACCACTGAACAACCAGGCTCCTTAGTATGCAATGTACAAACATCTTTTCTGTGCTAACAGCCATCCTAGTGTAATTCTGAATAAAAACTTCTAAATAAGTGCAAAACAAGTGGTTTTGTTTTCTCTTATCATGGGCATTAGGATAATTTAGCTGTACCTATTATAATCCCACTCACCTCTAAAATCTAGAAAACACTGACTTGCTATACATTGGTGTTACTTTTTATAGTCAGTCTAGTAGGATCAGAGATAAGTTAATCACAAGTCTAGACATCTGTGTTCACGCACACCTCCTGTGCACAAAGCTTAGGAACATACCTGATGTGGCCCCAGTCTACACCTTCAAAAAACGGATGACCTTTTATTTCTTCTACGCCACTATTTCCAATTCTATTTTCAGAGTCAATACAAAACCTAGAACATGGAAACAGAAATTATCATAAGCAAGGTATATCTAAAGTAACTTTCTTTGGATTATTTGAAATATTAATCATCTTACAAAATAAATTTTTGTTGTTGTTATGTACTGAAGTTAATATTTATTAATTTCTCTTTTCTTTAACAGGGAATATGGGAATATGGGAGAAAAAAATCAAAATCACCCGAAATTGTATTATCAGAAATAACCACTATACATATTTTGATGCAATTCCCTTGGAGTCTTTTATAATAACTTTTTAAAAATTTGTGTTGAGAGAATAGTATTTTAGAACAACTGTTAAAATCTAATATACTGTAGACATTTTCCACATCTTCATCTATAAATTTCCATAAGGATATGTAATGATTTAGTCAGTCCACTATTGTTAAATTGAGACTGTTTCTCATTTTTCACTACTAAGAATAAAAATACTTTATCGCTGTACGCAAAACTCCTAGAAGTGGAACTGCTAGGTCAGAGGCCAGGCCCAATTAAAGAGTGCTTTGTAACATACTGCCAATGGCTGTCCCCACCCATCCACATTCACATTCCTTCCAGATATTCTTGATCATACTACACACTTCATCCTTCCTTGAAGAATAGAATGGAATATTTTATTTAGAAAACCCCCCATATAGGATGTCTTGATACGAATTTCTGCTACTGTAATCTCTCTTTTCTTTACCAGGACAGTGTTATTACATTCTAACGGGGTGACCTTTACCATGAACATACACCAATAGCTGGAGTAATACAAGAGCACGTCTTGCTTTCAACTCCCTTTTCCCTTTGCCACTTCCCTTAAGAGTTTAATATATATATATATTTTGAGTTTAATATTTTTTAAAATTCCTTTTCTTTACTGAGTTCTTTTGGGATGACCCCTCCCAAAAGTGAAATGGGCAATTTAGTCCTTTAGGAACCTGGTTAAGTTTTAGGATATCAAGAACTCCTCTAGGGATTTAATCATTAACCTTAGAATTAAGTCCTTGGCTTTCTCGGATATAGGTACTTCTGGTGGAAATACCAGCGTTTCTTTCCAATTCATCACTTTTCTGTATGTTTCTTGAGGTGTTTCAGAACAGAAAGGTGGATATCCTGCATATCAGAGAAAACAAAACTTTATTAGTTTTTCTCATCTGGTGTTAATCCTACTTTTCATGTGATTTATCTAATAAAAAAAGGTGTCACCACGGATCAATTACAATAAAATTGCCAATAAGATCAATCACACAAGGATTTTAAGTATCATTCCCCCTTTTACCTGCAGATATAATGTTGAGACATGGGGAGCTTGGGTTAAACAGTTTCTTTCTTCCTTAAAGAGGGCCCCCAGAGGGCACATTAGTATTTATCATTGGGAAATGTCAGAAACAGGCTTTAGAGAGCTCAGGTATTTTAGCCTACTATGATGTCTACACGATGTCCAGTCAATGACATTCTAGGATATTTACATATTGTGTACACAAATTAATACTAAAACATACCTATTAGCATTTCATACATAATCACTCCCAAAGACCACCAATCACATAGTTTGTTGTAACCAGTCTGCATGAACACTTCCGGAGCAATGTAATCTGGTGTCCCAACTGTGGAATATGCCTGCAAAGGAGAAGCCTGTCAAACCAAGATTTTAAACTTTGTTTTTAAAGAGCTGCATGGCTCACTATTGGAAATATCTAGTCATTTCCCATTCAGTCCTCTTTTGTTGTTGCATATTTATCAAGTATGAGGCTCAGTGATAAGTATCAAGTTCAGTAAATTTTATAGGACATGATTTCTGCTCTTCTACCCCCACCCCCCCACCCCCAAGAAGCTTACCTAAGCTATCTATTTAGACTTAAATAGACTTCAAAAAGTAATGGAGGTGCGAACCCACTAGACATGGCTTCCTCACAACTTATGGAATCTTCAGCAAGGTACTCAACCTCTTTGCATCTCAGCTTCTTCGCCCATAAAACTGAGCGACACTATCCTAGCAGAGTTGTGTGAGGACCAAGCAAGAAAAAAAATGGGTTTTGTAACTCTAAAGGATTATATAAACATAAGGTCTTTTCATCATTAACTTAGTTCCAAGGAACCTTTGATACAACTTTTGATACAACTTTTGCTCAACTGCTACCTAAAGGTTAGAGGTTCAAGGCCACCCAGAGGCGCCTCAGAAGACAGAGCTGGCAGTGTCCTTCTGAAACGCCAGTCACTGAAAACCCTGTGGAGCACAGTTCTACTCTGACACACACCGATCGCCACCTGTCAGAAGGAACTCCAAGGCAACGAACTGGCTTTGTCTACCAATCAGGACACTGTCACTTTTCATTCTTGATTCATGTAAAATCTTCCAACAACAGTCATGTACGGTAGCATTCTCAACTGGGGGAGTACTCTGGGGACCCTCTAAAAATGTACGGCAGCAGACTTTGCTATCACAATGACCTGTGGAAGGGCATCATCGGCACTGAAGCAGACGCAGAGCACAGGTGCCAAAACACTCATCCAGTGCCCCCTCCCTGACCCTCTCCCTGATAGAGGGCACGATTGCTACCCACAAGAACAGTAACACATGCACACGATTATTAATCTGTGGATATTCTGGGACACAGCATTCCCTTGAGTGTATTTTTAAGTCTGGGTTTTTTGTTTAAAAGGAAATATTCTAATTCTTTTCTAGATTGTAAAATTTCATACGAAAGTGACACGTTTTAAAGGAAAGTTTTCCGCCTTAAAACACAGCTCAATACACTTTGAAAACTGTTTAAGACACTTAAAAAAAACAACACTGAAATGTTTTACAACCACAGGAAGCTGGCAGTTTTATTGGCTAATAAAGAATGAGCTCAAGAATCCAAGGTCATTTTATTTTATTTAGAGGACATCAGACTATTATTTTTCAGTCTATTTACTTTCCCATGGGGAGGTTAAATGAGTCTGCACTTCATGACTTGGTTGAATACAACAAATATTTATAGACTGTATACATGTGCCAGGCATTGTATAGGAAAACAAAGTATCACAGCACATTCCCAATCTTGAGATTGTTCACCACGCTATCAACAGGATGGAGGGAAGGTGGAAAGGAGGGAACAATTCTTACATCTGCTAAGTAACAGAGGAGAAATGGTCTGAGGTTAAAAAGAGGCAGTAGGATTTCACACGAAGAAGTCTATCTGTGGTAAAGTTCGCTTTAAACATTTTTATTTATTATGATGTTGTTGACATACAAAACTTCCTATAATTGTCTATCATTTCCGAGGGCTTGAGCACAGATGTAATGTATGGAAATTATCAGCTACAATCACATTATTTTAAGTGTGTTTATCTAGAGAGCTGATGACTAGGAAAGTTTGCCAGCTCACAGGTTTACTCACAAAATGCTAACTTAAAGTTAAATCATGAAATGAAAACCAGCTTTCTACTCCATAGATAAAAACACTTTAGGAGCATCTAAGAGAACAATGTGATCCCAGAACAAGCCTTCTCTTTGCCAGGGAATAAGTATTAATCATCAAGAAGACACGAAATGATCAAGTAGAGCCCAGATGTGATTTCAGGCCCCAAATCCCCTCTCATGACTGACTCACCAGCTGCCTCCTGTTCTTCTTCCATGTCTCTGCCTTCCTTTTGGAGTTCATATTCTGAAATGCTAATTTCAACAAAGTGGAATTAGGAAGGAAAAACTCTCACTGAAAAGCAAATTCACACATACAAATTTCAAACACCCTTTAAAAAAAAGAGGAATAAAAGGCAGAGAACCTTTAGGCCTCAATTAAACCAACCGTCATTATTTCAAGCAGAAAAACTCCCAACTTACAGAAGTCACTTGGTGGGTTGTGCGTGAGGTTTCTGTAGAATTCGGTCCTGTGAGCTTTCTTTAATCCCGTGCATAAACCAAAATCAGATAATTTTACATGACCCTGAAAAATATAAATCCACTAAAATCAAGAGATGACAAAACCCTGGAAACAAAAAGCCTTACTATAAACATTCCTGTTGAGTGCAACTGTTATAAAATGTCTTGGGAATCCGGGGCAGATGACCCCTCCAGGACCAGTCTGAGAGTGGCGATATTGGGAGGGTGGAGGGAAGGTGGGGTAGAAAGGGGGAACCGATTGCAAGGATCTACATATAGCCTCTTCCCTGGGGACAGACAACAGAAAAGTGGATGAAGGGAGACATCGGACAGTGCAAGATATGACAAAATAATAATAATTTATAAATTATCAAGGGTTCATGAAGGGAGGGGGGGAGGGAGAGGGTAAAAATGAGGAACTGATACCAAGGGCTCAAGCAGAAAGCAAATGTTTTGAGAATGATGATAGCAACAAATGTACACATGTGCTTGACACAATGGATGGATGGATGGATTGTGGTAAGAGTTGTATGAGCCCCCAATGATTAAAAATAATAATAATAATAAAAATAAAATTTCTTAAAAGTCAGAGGTGAAACTGTTACTTTAAAGAGTAGACAGCAGAAGATCCGTGTCAGCCATATTTCATAGATGTCATTTGATTCCCGGGTCCTCTCCTACAGCTTTAGTCTATGAAACTATGTCGCCTGGCAGTAACCTAGACACCCTGGTGGTGTAGTGGTTATGCATTGAACTGTAATCCACAAGCTCAGCTGTTTGAAACCACCAGCTGCTCCACAAGAGAAAAATTGGACTTTCTGCTCTGATTAAAGACTTAGAGTCTCGGAAACCCACAGGGCCACTTCTTTCCTATCCCGTGGGTCGCTGTGAGTTCCCATCAACTCAAACGACAGTGAGTTGTGAGAAAGAACATAGTTTTCAGTTGCTCAACTAGAAGACAAGCTTTTTATAAGAGATCAGCAAGTTATTGACTCAACACTTTATTCACATACCTTGGCATCCAATAAAAGGTTGTCTGGTTTAATATCGCGATGGATGAAACCCAACTGGTGGATCGCATCTATTGCCAGAACAGTTTCTGAAATGTAGAACTGTGTTTCCTCTTCTGTCAGGGTATCTTTCTTCATTAGCAATGTCATCATGTCACCTAGTGCAGACAGTAAGCAGCATGCTATCGGAAATGCCTTGTAAAAGCGTTCTTTGTATGCATGCAACGTGTTCTTCATTTTCCAACCCACCCAGCACTCTTCCAACAGTTTCTAAAGTCCAAGGAAAGGTTGTGCTTACGTCCGTCTGTCATGATCATTAAGTTTACTTTACCTCCGGGGAGAAATTCCATGATGAGATACAGGTTCCTCTTATCCTGAAAACTGTAAAACATCTTCACCACCCAGGCACCATCTGCTTCTACCAAAATATCTCTTTCTGCTCGGATATGGGCTACCTAGTGAATATATTTTGAAGAAATCATTGAAACACATTGTACATTTTGCAAGCTTAACTTCTACAAGTATCCCCAGTTCATTACAAATCATGAAGGACAGCGAAAGTTTTTGAAGATACACTACTGGGAACAGATGCATGTCCATATTCTGATTAAACATGGGGAACCACAGGAAACAGTTTGGCCTTTTTCCTTTGGGCCAGAACACTTAGGAGCCATAGTTACACCATGAGTATCTATGGCCTTGAGGTAGGACGATGGTGGGACTGAAACAAAACTTTCTAACCATGATCTCCAGCCAGCCAAGACCCTGGCTCAGTGATGGCAAAGTCAGGATCCTTAGCAAACTCTTTTTAACTGTTCACAGTCAAACAAAGGATCTCAGACTTGTTGTTTACCTATTTGGTCAACTTTTTAAGAAGCAGAAACTTTTATGATATCTACATTATAAAATAATATTTTCTCAATAGTATTATATTGTAAGATTTTCATAATATCAGTGATCGTGAGCTACAGCTAATAAGTATAACTTTCTATGGGGCTGTCCCTCATTTTTGCCAGGCACGTAGTTACATGGCATGCTATTAAATGAAATTTCCATAGGCTGGAAAGTTTTAGAAGTGGGATAAATTATGGGGCAGGTAAAACAAAGGTGAGTGGATCAAATCCAGCAGCCAGCTCACAGATGAAAGATGTAGTAGTCTACTTCCAGGAAGACGTACAGCCTCGGAAACCCTAAATGGTAGTTCTACTCTGCCTTACGGGTCATTATGAGTCAAAGTTGACTTGATGGTAAGGAATTTGGTCTGGCTTGTTTTTACAATGCACACCACTGACCGTGGGGCTGGTCAATTTGCAGACACTATTACATTATATTACTAGGAGTCTCGGCAGCACAATGGGTTAAAGCAGTCTGAACCCACCAGCTGCTCCACGAGAGAAAGGTAAGGCTTCTAATTCCGTAAAAAGTTACATCATAATAATAATTTATAAATTATCAAGGGTTCATGAGGGAGGAGGGAGCGGGGAGGGAGGGGGAAAAGTGAGGAGCTGATATTAAGGGCTCAAGTGGAAAGCAAATGTTTTGAGAAAGATGATGGCAACAAATGTACAAAGGTGCTTGGCACAATGGATGTATGTATGGATTGTGATAAGAATTGTACGAGCCCCCAATAAAATGATAAAAAAAAAAGAATTGTAGGACCCCCCAATGAAATTAGTTAAAACAAACACACAGTTACGGTCTCGGACACCCATGGAGGCAGATCTAGTCTGTCCTAGGGGGTTGCTGTAAGGCAACTGAGTTGATGACAGCCAGCTTTGGTTTTTGTTGATTGTTTATTTTACATTCTTTCTTCAAAGATCAACTCAAGCGTAAGATTTTATGCTTTTGCTTTCAGTATAAATTATCTCCAAAACACATGAGAACACAGATTAAAAAAAATCTTTACATGATAACAAAATACAGCCTACCTAAAACCACTGTATTACTACCTAGTACAGTGAGTGTTCTGAAATCAACACACAAGAGTCTGGAATTAGAACCTTTTTTCTGCACCCCCCAAAACTAGGTCTATTTCCTTAAATGGTAGCAAAGACTCTTACCTCTTACTATCATTTCTAATTTTCCAGTGGTGATTATATATATATATATAATTCAGACTAGTCACATTTCAAGTGCTCCATTTTTTTTTTTTT